CCCCCGCCCCGCCCGCCTCCGCCCGTCCAGTCATGCGGAGGGACAGGCTCTCAACTCCCTCCGCGCGGCAACGGCTTAAAGGCTGGGAAATGCGCGCGCGCTTCAGAGTTTAGTTGAAACGGTCTATGGTTCTGTGCCCTCCAGTCGCTTGCGACTCGCAGCGACCCTAAGACAACATCTCTGAACCCTGCTCTATCCTGAACCAATCTTACTGTCTCTGACACACCTACCGTCATTACCTCGGTCCATCCATCTCATCCAATCTTCCTCTCTTGCGCTGTCCCTCCACCCTTCCAAGGACTGATCCCTCCTTACAACATGCCCAAAATATGTCAGACGGGGCTTCAGAATCCTTGCCTCCAAGAAGCAGCCTGGTTTCACCCTCTTTAGGACGAATCTGTTTGTTCTCCTAGCAGTCCATGGTATAGTCAATACTCTTCTCCAGCACCACAGCTCAAAGGCATCAATTATTTTTCTATCATCCTTAGTCATTGTCCAGCTCTCTAATGCATAGCAAGTAATTGCAAAGACTATGACTTAGATCAGGCGCATCTTAGTCTCTTGACTTACGTCCTTGCTCTTTTTCAGGCCCTCTACCTTTCCCAGCAAGATGTCTCTCTCCAAGGACTGGTTCCTCCTGAAAATATGCTCAAAGTGAGATGGAGCTTTATCATCTTACCTCCAAGGAGCAATCTGGTTGTACTTCTTCCAAGGTATATCTGTTTGTTCTTTTGGCAGTCCATTCAGTGGCCTTCTCTAACACTACAACTCAAAAGCATCTATTCCTATACCATCCTTATTCATTGTCCAAATTTCAGATGCATACATAGCAAGTGATTGAAAAGACCATGGTTGGATCTGTCACACCTTAATCTTTAAACTGACATCCTTGCTCTGCAGAACATTGAAGAGTTCCTTGACAGTAGATTTTCCTCACTGCAGTAAGTCTCTTAATTTCTTGATTGCTGTGCCACCATGAGTGTTGATTATGGATCCAAGAAAAATGAAGTCCTTGACTACTTCAATTCTTTCTCCATCTATTATGATGTTGCCTATTGGACCAGTGGTGAGGATTTTTGTTGTCTTGATATTGAGATGTCATAATAATGAGGAGCCTTGGAAATATCGTGGGGCAATTCTGCTGTTTTATAGTCGCAGTGAGTCAGATTCTACTTGAGGGCAGTAAGTTTTGGTTTTGGGGTCTGACACTCTGAGGCTGTGCTGAATGTGACCGCCTCCCCAAATATTGTACAGGTGTTTGAGTTTGCTGTAGCTCCTTTTCAACTTTTTTCTGCCCTGAGATCAGGCTGGGATGCACTGGTGAGCCTACCTCTGTGACAAGGCTAATGCTGGGATGCCCTCTCTCTGACCTGACTGGGCACTGGCCTAAGTTGAAGGTGTTCAAGGCTGTGAGCCAGTTCTTTCATCTGGAAATTGAGAGTTGGAATCTAGCATTCCATGTGTTTTAGTTGTTGCTGCTGTTACATGCCATAGAATTGAAACCAGCTCTTAGGTGACCCTCCAGTGGGCTTTCAGAGGCAGAAAACGGCACAGGATGAGATTGCTCTTTTTCCAGTAGAGTGGCTGGTAGATCAGAACCATGTGTTTTCCGGTTCTTCAGCACAACTCCTTACCACTAGTCCATCAGAGCTCCCTGGTTTTTAATTAGTTTTTTAAAAAAATGTCCCGCTTGCCATCCACATGTGCTGTTGGTCGGTCACCTCTGAGACCTAAACTTTTCTAATTCAAGCATGAAAGTTCCTCATGTCCCAGTCCAGTTCCAGCGGCCCAGGTTTTTGGGTGGTGTTGTTAACTGCTGTCAGTGTTGAGTGCTAGCAGTTTTCAGGCAGTCTTCAGCAAGATTTTACCTGCATGGGCCATTAATGATATTGTTTGGTCATTTCCCCATCCTCATGGATCACCTTTTTGGAGTGGGTTTTGGGTGGCTGGCCTTTATTTTTAAGTCTCTTAGCCTATTCCTCTCAGTCTGCCCACTTCTCTCTCTGGGTAGCAAAGAGTTGAGTCATACAGTCTCTAGGGGCCTTCCAGACCGATCTGATTTGGTTCCAGGGATAGACAGTGGGTGTTCTGGGACTGTGGATAATGAACTGTGGCTCTACAGTCAGCACTGATGCTTCTCAAAGTCTGGAGTCAGGACTGCGTGGGTGTCACCGAGCCATCAAGAGTGGCCCTGTACACCACATGGTAAAGCAACATCCCTGTGATTGTTACATTGGAGGCCACTGCTGCCACCACTGTCATTCCATCTCATTGGGAGTCTTTATTCAGTAGCTCTCCTTGACCACATAGGGGGTCCTCCTTCAGAGACCGGTCCATCTACCACATGTCCAAAGCTAAGAGAGACAAAGACAAAGCCTCACCTTCCTGGCCTCTGAGGAACATTCCGACTGAAAGCCTCAGAACTCTCCTTTGCTCTCTCAGCCAGGCACAGGGGAACCGCTCAGCCCCTCCTGAGGGCTGCAGGAGGCTGAGGTGGGCTTTGTTTACATCTCCCCATCTCACAAATCTAGGTTGGGGGTGCTCTGAGCCGGGCAGGAGAGCTTGGCTTTAAGTAGCCTGGCAAAATCTGTGTCCTGGAGCCCAGGAGATTCTCAAGCAGGGGCACACAGGGACAGTGACTGTAGGGAAAGCCCAGTGCATTTGAGGCCTCAGCTTTCAGCTTTATATCTGGTGGCCCTCCAACTAGGTGCAGCCTTGGCCACAGAGGACGGCCACATGAGTCTCTGGTGCCCTTTACCTTTCAGTGACCAAATGTCCAGGGCTAGGCTCAGGCCTCGAATTCCAACAAGTTTCCTCTTTTAACAACAGTCTAGGGACCTTTCTTACCTCCATTCCCCTTTGGATGTTGTTGTTAGGTGCTGTGAGTCAAGCACAACTCATAGCAACTCTATGAACCACAGATCTGAACCCTGTTCTATCCTGTGCCACCCTCATCATCTCTGACACACCTGAGCCCATTGCTGCAGTCACTGTGTCAAAACACCTGATTGAAAGACTTCCTCCCTTTCGCTGATGAAGCATGTATTTCTCTAAGGAACAGCCTCTCCTAGCGACATGCTCAAAGTATGTAAGGCAAAGTTTTGTCATCTTTGCCTCCAAGGAGCACTCCAGCTGCACCCTCTCCAAGATATTAACTGTTTTTATGGCAGTCCATGAGATATTCGGTATTCTTCAATACCATATCCCATAGACAGCAGTTCTTCTGTCATCCTTACTCACTGTTCAGCTTTCAGATGTATAACAAGTGACTGGAAAGACAATGGGGTCTGAATCAGGTGCACCTTAGTCTTCAAACTGATATCATTGCTCCCTAATAATTTGGAGAGGTCCCTTGTAGACTTCCCCAGTGCTGTACATATCCTGAGCTTTGGATGAAGCCTTAGCTAAGTGGGTGAATCTATACTCAAACCATGGCCTTGCTCTTGGCCTTTCCAGGTTCAGGAGGCGAGAAGCCTGAGCACACTCTAACGTCTGCCTCCCTTGGGGGAAAAAGTCAGAGCACTGTGCTGGTCTAAACAGCCAAATGGTGGCTTCCAACAAGTAGCCTGAGGGTCTGATCCATTTGCCAGCCTGGGCTTCCGTCACAGGAGCTCCTCTCCCTGCCTGGTGTCTGCATGGGGTTTGAGCAGAAAGTTAATCTAGGAGAAAGTTCTCAAGCTCTCCCCTGCTCAGAACTGGAGCTACTACTGACGCTGATTTTATCATTCATAACAATAAAGAACTAACATTTATCGAGCGTTCATGAGTCAGACACTTACAAGATCCTATATATCATGAACTCTCATCTTCCTAATTCTTTGTTCTGCTCTTTATTCTCCTGTTTTACAGATGAGGAAAGAGAGACATAGAGGTTAAGTAAGGGGACCAAGATCATGCAGCTACTGACTGGTGGAGTCATGATTTCTCCCTCAGGCTGGACTCCGGCCCACAGCCCAGGTTTCCATGCTCCACTGTCCCTCTCGCTCTAATGGACTCTGATCAAGAGCTGTGTCTGTAGTTCAGACCACGTCAAGGTCACCAAGCATGAGGACTGGTTGGTGGTGCGCTGGGACTAGCACTTACTGTGTTCCCTTCTACTGGCCACTGAATGGCATCACATTCACAGCATGCAGTGCACCAGCAGAAAGCCTTTACACCAAGGGAGTCAGCAAAATGCACATTAGGGTTCTTCAGCTTCGAGAAAACCCATCATTAAACATCTACCAGCACCTGGGGGAACCAGAAACTTCTGGGCCCTAGATGAGCTGTCTTGTTAAGGAGGAGGTGATGTATAAAGGAACCTAATTCCCAGGTCCAGGCTGGGAGGGCGACCCTCTCCCCAGTGGATCCCATGATGCCAGTTATTCCGGGAGATTGCTTTGAGTCCCAGCCCCAAGTGGGAGAAGCAGAAAAGGCTCAGCTTTCAAGAGCAGATTCCTTGGTCCTACTATTTTTTAACTGAGAAACTTTAGACAAGGAATTTAACCTCTCAAGGGTGAAAGAGAAACAAAAACATTACCAACTTCACTGGGTCATTCTGAGGAATATGTCACAGATGCTGGGACTCTGTAGACTTGGCAATGCCAGCCAAAGGAGGGTACTGGGTCCTTTTCTAATCATCTTGTTCTCAGCATTTCCCATATGAAGGAATGGCACCCTCCATCCGCACGCCCAGTTCTAAACAGGGGGGCAGGAGGAGCAGTGTAGAAGGTCTATGTTGTACAGGCAGCACTCAGGCCAGCGCTTCCCCCTGCGACCCTTGACATCAGTCCTGTAACAGGACCCCCAAGAGGCTGGGAGCTGCAAGTTGCTGGAAGGCTGGGCCACTAAGCTGTCACAGCTCTGCTATTATCTGTAGTTTTGGAGAAGTTACATTTTAAAAATTTATTCCTAACTTGGAGTAAAGCAGCCCTGGTGGCACAGTCGTTAAAGCACCTGGAAACCTCACGCAGCAGGTCTGTTCTGAACCCAGTGTGGCTACTGAAGACGTGGAACGGCTCCAGCACCCAGTCAGCCTTTTCTTCTTAGGAAGGCTGTTCTGGGAGCCAGAGGGCAAGTCTGATTCAATTAAGTACAACAAGAGCAACAGGCGATCAAAATAAGAGCTATTTATTACAAAATGAAATTGTCTCCAATCCTCTCTAGGAATCTTTTTCTTTTTTTTTTTAATATAATGTGGCTCGAGAAGCTGACTAGAGGTTGGGGTGACTGACAAATGCCTTCTCTGTCCAGCTGCAAGTGTGTTGGGCATATCACATTTCAGAACCCCGACAGTCCCTCTCCCAGTCCCATCTAGGCAGTGGAATGGACAACCCCATGCTACCTGAATCCAGGTGGCCCTTTCCCTGAGAAGCGCCTGCCCCTGCCCGGCATGGAGAGGACATGCGGGAGGGGAGGGATGGGCAGGAAAGGCTCCCTCTCTCATCCCTGGAAAGCAGTGGGAGACAGAAGGAGCACTTTGTCCTGCTGTGGCCACTTGAGCAGAGAGAGGGACAGGAGGTACTGAGTTTTCTCTCTGCTTGCCCTCTCAAAGTGGCTCCCCCTTCAACCAAGGTCATGATTGGAAATAAGGCAGGTATAAGGGAACCTCGGGCTCTGGGGACCTCAGGGTAAGAAACTGCACTGTAATCTCAAAGGCACAACGTTCAAGTCTACAAGCAGCTCCGGGGAGAAAAATGGGCAATCTCCTCCTGTGAAAACTGAAACTGCCTCTGAAGCCCTCTGGAGGGGCAGCTAAGAGTCAGTCCCACTCGATGGCACACAACAAGGGAACATCACTCCCTTCTGGATGGCATGAGGGGTCCCCTCTTTTCCTAATCCAAGAGCAGAGCCTGAATTCCACCTCCACCCAGATGGCTGCCCACCTAGCTGGAAATCAGCTCCTCCTGTGGGGAGGGGCCATCGCAGGGGTGGGGGGAGGTGAGCAGAAGCTCTCCCACTGCCTTCCCTTCCTCAAATGCAATTAAGCCAGCAGCCCAGACTCAGCACACTGGCAGGGCTTCCTGCTGGGGGAAGTCAGAAGGGCCATAGCCCTGGAAGAGAGAGGTCATCAGGTTCCAGATCTAATTAACCGGCCTGCCTTGCTGCATTTCCTCTATTAACATTAATGACAGTTGGTCTGAACTCCAAGCATGGCCCAGAAGCTTCCCTCCCCACCACCCTGTAGGTAGCACAGCCTGTCCCTGGGACCAATTTCCAGTCTCCGTGGCAACCGCCTCTCAGAGATGTTCTAAAGAGCGCTGACCTTGTCAGGGCTGAAGGCTTGGAGGGAGGGAGGATAGAGTGTGGCAGAGATTCCTCTCTAAGCCCTCAAGCACCACAATCCTCTGAGACAAAATATTTTGTCATGCACCAGGAGATTGGAGGCAGGCTGAGAAGCTGGCCTTGGGCTGCTTTGGTTCTGACCCAACACTTTTCTTAATCCTTTTCATTTGGGAAAGAAGAAGGCACAGCTCTGAGCTGCTTGCCAGGGTCTTAAAGTGGCAGAGCGAAGGAGCCGTGATGCCTGTCTAAGGAGAGCCTTGGGGAGAAGGAACGGGTGAAATAGCAACACACTAAAGGGGAAATGCCGATGGAGAGAGAGGGCACCAGCTGTGGGCAGGCCGAGCCCACCCAATGGCAGGCCTGGATCCTCGTGCCCCATCCAGCCTTGGGGTGTTGGCCCAGTCCCACACATGCTCCCAGCTCTTCCTCCCTCTCGGCTGCTGCACTGCCCAATAAGGGTCCCCAAAGGCTCTCCCTGCCATCAGGTGACCGCATCTGTGCTGGTCTTCACCAGGGGAAGGGATGGGGAGAAGCAGCCTCTCACACACGGGGCCCAGGGAAACAGCAAAGCCAGATTCAGGATAGGTGGCCCCACAGCCTGAGGGGGCCAGGTGCTGTCCTCAGAGAGCCAGGACACAGTCCTGGGCACTCGGTCCCAGGAAGGAGGGCTGGCCACCCACTGTCACAGCTGAGATGTGGCGGTGACAGCCTTGCTAGGATGCAGGCAGGAGGCCCAAGGCAAAGTTCTCTGCACACCTTCTATGGTGGCTGGCCCTCCAGCTTGGCCATACTGTCTGCCTGCGAGAAGGGGGCAGTGTGGTGCTGACAATCCCATATGCTCTGCCCGGGGTGACACGCTGAGGTGGGGGTAATACTCCCAGTTTGTGAACCCCCGTAGGGATCACAGAACCTATGATGGACTTTACTCACAAATCCAACATGAAGAAACACCCACACATGACTGCAACCCTGGATGGTTTCTTAGGGTTTATGACATTCAGCTGTCCACAGTCACACAGTCGACACTCCACAGGCGTGTGGACAAGTGCAGTAGCTCACACACAACCACACACACATATACACTTGTGCTCCTGCACGTTGCACACTCTGAGAAATGGGCCTGAGAGGCGCCAGCCTCAGCTTCACAGCCACCTGGTGCATAGAGCTGGGGCTCACTCTGGTGTTGGGCTACGTCCACTCTGGTTGGTCCTGGCAGACAGCAGCCCCTTCCAGGCTCCCCGGGCAGCTCCCCCACAGGGCCCAGGGTCTGACTCCACCGCTGGAGGCCTCCCGGCAGTTCCTGAACCCATGTGGAATCCTTGCAGTGGTCTCAGAAGTCCCAGGATTCCAGCCACCTCAGTCCTGCCATTGGACTGAGGGGGTTCTGCGCGAGGGGACCAATCATCCCGTAGGCCAGAGGGTGGAAGAGGTAGAAGCTGTGGAGAGAATGCAGAGGCGCTGATGGCATCATGGGGCCTCAGCTGTGGCAGGGGGGAGGGGGGTCTTTCAGAGTCCAATTCAGCCCTGCCGTCGGTGCTCACCAGACCTCAGCCCCTACTCATGTCCTCTGTCCCTGCAGGGGGACACATGCTGACCTAACAGAAGCAGGGAACGAGCTCCTGCCTGACAGGACTCGGTCCTGGGCTGTTTGGTCAAAAGTTTTTAAATGTGGTTTGAATCCTCTGAGTTCACAGCCCACCACTGCTTCTTGTCTCTGTCTGGTCCCTGAAGGCACATATGCTAGTGTCCCCTAGAGTCACTCAGTGGTTCCGTGAGCCAGCAAGGAGGAGAGAAGAGAAGGGGGGGTGTCTTCCAAACCACACCCTCTGTCAGTGATTCAGGGTCAACCATCCACCCTCCTCCTGCTCTGTCCACCCTCCCCCACACTGCCCTTCCCTACATTGCTCAGAGCTGTGTCAGGCAGGAGACACTGTGATAAAGAGGGGTGCCCTTTCAGGGGAGCTGGGGTGATACGGAAGCTGGGAACCACTGGCACAAAGTGCGATGCAGAGTCAGCCCCATGCTTCTCATAACTGTCTGCACATTGGGAGCAGCGGGGGAGCTCTGACAACTGCAGGTGACTGGGCTCCACTGAGCCCAATTCAATAGTGCCTGCAGGGAGGCCGAGGCCCTGGTGAGCTTTAAGAGCACCCACGTAATTCTGAAATATGTTGAGGCCTGATGTACCCCGAGTCCACCATGTCCACAGGTAGGGAGGCAGAGCTCACCTGTAGGCAGTTGCCAGGAGCAGGCTCAGGATGCCCCCCACATGGATGCCCCTGGCCAGGGAGGAGGAGGCCAGGCGCCAGGCACAGAGCCGCAGGAGTGTGTCCCACAGAATCCCTATTGAAGACGAGAGAAATCCTGCGAGCCCATCAGAGCGACTCTGGGGTGTGACACAAAGGAACCCGCCCCCCAAGTCAGAGCAGAAGGATTATCCCTGGGCTACAGCCGCCCCTCCCTCTACCATCCACACGCAGGGGGGCCGCACTGACCTGTCAACATGCTGGAGAAGAGCATGGCCGGGAAGTAGTGGTGGAAGTAGAGGATCCGGCCCATCAGGAAGAACGGGAAGTAATGGAGCGCCCAGCCCAGCAGGACCTGACCGCCGCCTTGCAGCAGGACCTGGGACAGCCCTGGACCCCAAGCAGCATGGCCCCCGTCAGAGGACAGGGAAGAGGCAGAGGTCTGGCCTGGCTAAGGTACAGAGCCACTCTGGGTCTCAAATGGCCCCACACCAACAACCCTACAGCATCTCAAAAGGCAGAGCGAGAGCTGCTGGATCTCAAGCCCTGGTCAAGACCCCCTGGGGCAGCCTTGGGGGGTGCCCAATGGCGGAGGAACCCAACAGTCGCAGGAGGCAGCCTGGCCTCCAGAGCAGCCACAGCCTACACATACCCTGCTGACAGCTTCCCTCACTACCTCCAAGCCTCACTTCTGCAGAGGCCGACAGGGTGTAGGTGGGGCAGACCCGAGGATGCGGTAGGGGAAAGGGGAGCATCGGGGACCATGGCTGTCAGACATAGAACAGTGAAGGCGAGAGCCTCCGTGACTCCTCGGAAGATGCTGCCCAGGAGTGGCACCAGGGTGGGAACCCACACTGTGCTCTGGGACTCGGCTCCACTAGAGAACAGGACAAGAGGGGACAAAGAGAAAAAGGGCAGCTCTGTAGACAGTAGCACAGGAAAAAGTGAAGACACTGAAATCCACGTGCGTGGATTCAGACTCTGTCTCTATCACTAACAAGCTGTCTGAGGACAAGTTTCTTAACCTTGCTCTACCTTTGTTTCCTAATCTATACAATGGAGGGCAGGGTAATAGCGTCCTATTCTACAGTGTTATTGGGATGACGCAGTTTAGTACAAAACTAGGGCTTTTGCTATGGTGCTCTGGTGGCCTAGTGGTAAGAAGCTGTGCTCCAATCCCAAAGGCATGAGGTTTGAATCCACCAGCTGTTCTGCAGGAGGAGGATGGGTGGTCTCCTCCACACAATTTCCTGCCTCTGAAAACTCACAGGAGGGTCACCTGTGAGCTGCTCGTGACTGACGGCACACACCACCACTAGGGCCTTTGCTGGCTGCTAGCTTTAAAAAGCAAAGGCGAATGGAGAGGCGGCCGGGGAAGGCAGTGGCCCTCAGCCAGAGTGCAGGCGTCCTGCGGGCAGCAGGGTCAGGGGAGGGCTGGCCCAGGGACCTGACCTTCCACTTTGGCTGGCAGCTGGACCCCTCTTTGCACAGCCACAGCAGCGACGCTTCCTGCGAGGAAGTAGAGGACGATGCTCAACAGATTCAGCCACCAAACCACCTGCATGGAAATGAGAGCAGGAGGCTGAGAGGGCAGCTCTGTGCAGGCCAGCGCTCCAGGGCCCCAGACGGGAGGCATCAGACACTCACCGGGTTGCCGAGCAGATAGACTCGGAAGTCCGTGTCATTGATACCTGAGAAGCGCAGGCCCTGTGGGGCAGAGAACACCTGATGTTCCCTGGGGCACTTGCTCTTCCAAAGAGGGGGAACCCATTTACCTTTCGGACTGGAAGGCTGGGCTGGAGGCTCAGAGGTACAAATTCCATGAGCTTTCTGGGAAAGCTGGGCCAGAACCAGAACCCAGGCTCCATCTCTAGCCGACCCATCTCACCCTCGCCTGCCCCCCATATATCTCCCCCGACCCATCTCACCCTCGCCTGCCCACCCCTTGTGTATCTCGCCCTCCCACCCCACTCTCAAAGGCCTTGTTGTCTCCACTTTTGAGGCATTCTAGCCTCGGGCTCTACCTGGTAGTTGATAGGCCAATGCCAAGGTTTGGATGTGAAGTCATTATCTTTGGGTTTGAGACCACTGTTCCCCTGCAGGATGGGGTATAGAGGAAAGAGAAGTTAATACAGACACCTAGAGGGCTGGCAGAAATGGGAGCCAAGTGTCCCTGGTACACAGCGAAGTGCCCAGAGCCACCTTTCTCTCCTTTTGCAGAAGCTGTTCACTCTCAGCCTGGTCCCCGCCCCTACAACTGCCTTACTTCCTCCAAGCAAGCAGGCCTCCATTTCACATCACACAGTCCGTTCAGACTTGCTAAGCTTGAGTGAAAAGATGAAAAAATGGAATGAGTGACCTACTTCTCATGGACACAAAGTATATACTCTTCTTTCCTGCTAATGATAGTGTTGAGACCTGGGTGTGAGTGGGGTGCCCACATCAAACAGAAAGCTGGAAGCCCTAAAGAGTGCCTGGATGGGTGAAGTGTTAACTTTAGGCCATTGCCTCCCAGCCCTTTTTTTGCCCCTACTACTGTTCTCCTACCCCCTGAAACCTTTCCAGATATTTTTTCTTTCAAATGCCCTCATGAAATTTTAATACCATGATTTACTGTCTGTTTATGAATTGTGTGTCGTCTGTCTGTGCTTTATACATATAAAAGAGGCAAGGTTTTTTGGTCTCCAACTTGGGTGTGATATGCCCCTGTGGACAATGCACACTTGAAACTGAAGATTTCGGACACAGCCTGCTAGCCCACAGCCATGAAGCCTACAGCAAATGTGCAGGCCAGACAATAGCCCGACTCCACACGGCAAAACCAGGTCTTTGTTAAACACCAAGGGATAGGCTCAGGATCCAGGACCTTAACCACAGCACTGGTCTCGGGCTCACTGGCAGGGCGCCCCAGGAAAGCAATTCCCTCGCCCCAGGAAAGCAATTCCCTCAAAAGAGAATAAGGAGCTAAGAGGTAGCTCAGCTCAACCAGTCTGGCCTCCTCACTATTTACATGACATTTCTGTCTTTGTTGTGGGTCTGTCCTGGGCAGTGTGGGGTGTTTACTCTGCCTGGTGTCTTTGTTGTGGGTCTGTCTTGCGAAGTGGGGGGGCTTGGCCATCCCCCATGCTTTTCTTGTAGGGTGTGTCCTGGGGGTGCTTAGCCATTCCCTGTGTTTTTCTTATGGGGTTTGTCCTGGGCAGTGGGGGTGTTTAGCTGTCCCCATGTTGCTGCTGTAGGTCTGTCCTGTGCAGTATGGGGTGCTTAGCTATCCCCCGTGTTTTGTGGGGTCTATTCTGTGCAGTGTGGGGTGCGTAGCTGTCCCTGATAACTACACACGAGGTGCCAGTACCACTTACCCCACCCCACAGTTATCATCACACCAATGTGCCCGGGCAACACCTAATGTCCTCTGGGAGAAAAACTGGCCTACGACGAGAGTCAATGATCTCATCCAAAAAGATCCAGATGATCTGGCTAAGTGGACAGTCACCCAGTGTTGTACTAATCCAGCTTCCTGAGGGGCTGGGCAGAGCTGGCACGCTAAGAGGTTGGGTGGATCAGTAAGGGTCAGAAGTGCCAGAGGGATGTCAAACCCAAAGGGGTCAGACACAGTCCCTGAGCCACTACAGCCACCAGACGGGCCTCCAAACAAGGACAGAATCACAGTGGAACTGCTCCAGGAAATCAGATTAGCTGCAGATTCGGGACTCCAGCCTGAGCTATGATAAGGAAAGGCTCCTCCTGCTTACTTTAAACTCTGAGAAATCCGCTGCTTTATTAAACCATGAGAGGAGAGGAGGAAGTCCTCTGTACCTAACGCTTATCATTTAGAGCGGGCTCCTGCTAGCTGACCTCCCCAGGCTAGCTAGCCTTCACCCAGCTCACACCATCCTCTCAGCTGGCAGGAGAACACGCTCGCTCACATCATCCTCTCAGCTGGCAGGAGAACACGCTCGTGCAATCTCCGACATGTAGAATGGCCTCCCAGGTCCCCCCTCCTTGAATGGTTAATTATAAATGGGGTAAACAAAAGAAGTCCTTCACAGCCCTTTTCTTCGACTCTACCTCTCCGACCACAAAAAAAAAAAAAAGGAAAGAAATGAAACTTGAGATTCTGCTTTAAAATTCTATCCAGATCTAGAATGATATCATGACTGACAAGCAGATATTCAAAAGAGCCATGTCATCGAGCCCAGTGACAGCTACAAGCGAAGAGTCAGACATGAAGTGACCCAGAGATTGTTTAATGTCAACTCATCACCTCTCAATGTGCAGAAATGACAAAACCGGAATTTTTTTATTTAATCTGGTGAAACAAGTCAACCATATTTCCTGAGAACTGCTTACATAACTCTTTCTAACAAAGGCCATCTGACACTGGCTCACTAGAGGAAAAGTACGACCTCCCCGCAGCCTCGGAGGTGAAGCAAAACCAGGCCCAAGTTCCAAGGTGTTAAAGCCCCTTTTCTAGAAAACACTGAGCTTTCTTAAGTCATGGAGGCGCTTTCCCCAACTGTCAAAACTATACCCCTTTTCCCACATCACTAATTTAAGCTAGTGGACAGCATTTTATGACTTTACATTTTTCTTTGTTCTGCTGTTCTTATATTGTTGACACTATAGCTGACTGTCAGCGACTGAGCAGTATATTGTGTTAGGTGCTTTTGAGTTGAGTACAACCCATAGCAATCCTATGCACAACAGATTTGGATCTTGTCCTGTCCTGTGCTGTCCTCACACTTTCTGACACATTAGAGCCCATTGCTGCAGTCAACATGTCATTTCTCTTGGGTGAGGGTCTTCCTCTCCTTCATGACTCTCTGACTAAGCGGAGCGTCATGTGCTCCAAGGAATAGCCTCTTCTAGCAACATGCCCAAAGTATGCGAGGCAAAGCTTTATCATCTTTGCCTCTATGGAGTATCCTGGCTGCACCTTCTCCAAGACGTATTTCTTTGTTCTCTTGACTGTCCATGGGATGTTCAGTGCTCTTCTCCAACACCACAGCTCAAACGCATCAGTTCTTCTTCTGTCATCCTTATTCACAGTCCAGCTCTCAGATGCACAGTAAGTGATGAGAAAAATCATGGCCTCAATCAGACGCAGCTTAGTCCTCAAACTGACATCATTACCCCTCAATAACTTGGAGAGGTCCTTCACTGCAGACTTGCCCAGTGCAATACGTCTCCTGATACCAAAGGTGTTGACAGTTTCCATTTTTTCTCCATCTATCATGATGTTTCCTCTAAGTCCAGTGATATGAACTGTTGTTTTCTTGATGCTGAGATGCAATCCATATTGAAGGGATCTATTCTTTTCTATTTTGCAACAAGTGCTCCTCACTTCCAGTGAGCAAGGTTGTCATCAAGTTTGTGTATAATGAAGGTTATTGATTAGTTTCCTTCCAACCTTGATGCCACATTCTTCTTCATAGAATCCAGCTTCTCAGGTAATTTGCTCAGCATACAGATTGAACAGTATGGAGAACACAACCCTGCCACACTCCCTCCTTAATTTTAAACCATGCAGTGGTCCCTTGCTCTTTCCACACAACAGCCTCTTATTTTTCTGTCCTTCTGCATAAGGACAATTAAGTGCTCTGGGATTCCCTTCTTCTCAATGGTAGCCATAACTTGTTATGATTCACACAGTCAAATGCCTCTGTATAGTCAATAAAACGTAAATAGCCATTCTCTGGTATTCTTTACTTTCAGCCAAGATCCATCTGACATCAGCAATGATATCTCTCGTGCCCCAGCCTCTTCTAAATCCTGCTTGAACTTCAGGCAGTTCCCTATCTATGTACTGTTCTAGCCATTTTTAAATGATCTTCAGCAGTATTTTTGTTTGTATGTGATATTAATGATATTGTTCAATAATTTCCATATTCTGTTGGATCACCTTTCTTGGGAATGGGAATATAGACCTCTTCCAATCCACTGGCCAGACAGCTGTTCTCCAAATTTTCTGGTACAGACTGGTGAGTATAACATCCAGGGCAGTTTCTGCTGAAATATGTCAATCAGTATGCCATCAATTCCTGGGGCCTTGTTTTTTTTTTTTTTTTTGCCAATAGCTTCAGTGCGGCTATAACTTCCTCCTTCATTACCATTAGCTCCTGCTCATATGGTACTTCCTTATATTTGTCAATGTCAGTCTGTTCTTTTTGGTACAGTGACTCCATGTATTCCCTCCATCTTCTGGGTTATTCAACAAATTGCCGATGGAATCATTCAATATTACGACTTGAAGCTTAAATTTGTTTTTCAGTACTCCCAGCTTGAGAAATCCAGAGCAAGTTCTTCTCTTTTTATTCTACATCCCAGCTCTAGGCACATTCCATTATCATCCTTTGTCTGGTCTTCTCAAGCTGCCCTTTTTATTTTTTTCTTTAATTTTATACTGACTTTTTACAAAGTTTGAATACTTTGTTTTTCACAAAAGATCTTCCCCATTTCCTTCACTCCACACACCCATCGAATTGTGCAACCCCCTGATTAACACCCTACCCCCTCACACTTACTCACCCCTCTATTTCCACCCTCCTCCCCGTCCTTGGATCCTCATACTCATTCTATAATAATGGCAGTATTTGTCCTTGTGGGACTGAGCAAATTCACTAAGCATAATGCTCTCCAGTCCCTCCCAAGTTAGGTAGTAATTTACAAACTCATTGCTCCTACATGCTGGATAGTATTTCACTGTATGAATGTACCACAACTTCTCAATCCATCAAGCTGCCCTTCTAAATCTTCTGTTCAGTTCTTTTACTTCGGCATGTTTTCCCTTAGTTTTGGCTTCTCGACATTCTAGTGGAATTTTCAGAGTCTCTTCTGGCATCCATTTCAGTGTTTTCTTTCTCCTCTATCTTTGTAAAGACCTTTTGTTCTCTTCATGGATGATGTCCTTGATGTTATCCCACAACTCATCTGGTCTTCAATAATTGGTGTTCAATGCTTCAAATCTATTCTTAAGATGATTTTGAAATTCAGTGGAATAGATTCAAGATCCTGTTTTGGTTCTCAAGAACTTGTATTCATTTTCCTTGGCATCAATTTGAACTTGCACATGAGTAATTGATGCTCTGACCCATACTTCCCCCCATGGTGTAATTTTGACTGATGATACTGAGCTTCTCCAACAATTCTTTTCCCAGATGTAGTCAATCTGATTTCTATGATTTCCAGTCCATCAAGTGAGGTCCATGTGTAAAGTCGCCATTTGTGTTTTTTATAAAAGGTACTTGTAATGAACAAATCGTTTAACATACAAAATTCTATCTTCCTTTTTTCCAGCTTCATTCATCTCCAAATTCATACTTTCCAACTACTATTCCTTCTTCACTATTTCCAACTTTTGCATTCCTGTCACCAATTATCATTATTAATTCATCTTGGTTGCTTGTTTGGTCAATTTTGGGCTGTGAGTGGTAAAAATTTTTGATTTCTTCCTTTTTGGCTCTAGATGTAAGAGCGTATATTTGAATAATAGTAGTATTAACAGGTCTTCCTTGTATGCGTAAGGATAATATCCTATCACTCAAAACATTGTGCCTCAGGATAGAACATGAAATTGACTTTTTGACTACCAATACAGCACGATTCTTCTTCTGTCTTTCATTCTCAGCATAGTATACCATGTAACTATGTGATTCAAAGTGGCCAAAGATAGTCCATCTCATCTCACTACCGCTTAGAATGTCAATGTTCATGCATTCCATTCCATTTTTCACAATATCTAGTTTTCAAATAGTCAAGCTTCCTATATTGCATTTTCCAAGTATTAAAGGATGTTGTTTGCTGCTATTTTTCCTCATTTCTACTGACTTCCAATGTGTGCTCTACCACTAATGGGATAACTATCCGCATTCCTCTACTGTTCACAGGGTTTTCGGAGGCCGGTTAGTTAAGAAGTTGATGGCCAATCCTGCTTCCTAGTCTATCTTAATCTGGAAGCTCTACTAAAACCAAAAACGATTAGAACAGCACATCAGCAGAGAACTGCCGGAAGTCCAGGCTGGGTTTAGAAGGGGTC